CCAGCTGGATACCAGTTTCTCCCTGCCCCATTTGTGACAGTGTACATCATTTCGGCCACTGCTCTATGAATCTTGCTCTGTCATTTATCAAATTTCCATATACATGTGGGTCCCTTCCAGATGCTTTTCCTTTCCCTGAATCTATTTATCCGCATGCTAATAATGTATCGCCCAGTCTACTGCAGTTTCGAACTCCTTAAAGTATTTGCAGAGCCTGTACTTTGTTCTTAAGAAAATTTTGTCTTTTTTGCACATTTGATCTTTCTATTAGGTTTGAAGAAGTTGTTTTTATGAAGTCGTGGAAAATCATTTCTGAGGATTTGCTGGAATTTTATAAAGACTATAGGTTTCTTTTTGGGGAGCTGACATCTTGGTGACATTGAATTCTTTCTAAGAACATGTCCCAAATTTCTATTTATTTAATTCTACTTTGATATTACCCAATAAAGTTGAGGTTTTGGCCCATTAGAATCTTTTTATACCCTTCAGTAGAATTCTTTATTATGTGTTAGCTTTATTTTTTTAAGGTTTTATTTTTTAACTTATTTGACACAGAGAGAGAGACAGACAGCAAGAGAAGGAACACAAGTAGGGGGAGTGGGAGAAGGAGAAGCAGGTTTCCCGCTGAGCAGGGAACCTGATGCGGGGCTCGATCCCAGGACCCTGAGATCATGACCTGATCCTAAGGCAGAGGCTTGAGTGACTGAGCCACCCAGGAGCCCCATTATGTGCTAGCTTTAAAAACAAGCTTTATTGAGATATAATTCACATATTGTACAATTTACCAATTTAGGATGTACAGTTCAGTGTGTCTGTTTCTTCACAGAAAGAAGCAGCCATCACCATGTTCAATTTTAGTTTATTTTTATCGCCTCAAGAGAAATCTCATGCCCTTTATTTATCACCCTCCATACTGCTCCCAGCCATAAATAACCACTAATGCACTTTCTGCCTCTTGAGAATTTCTTATTCTAGACAGTTCATGAGGATGGAGTAACGTACTTTGTAGTTCTTTCTCCTGCAAGTTGAAATCAGTGGTTGAGTCCCTCTAGGGACTTGATTCAGTTACTGTGCTTTTCGACTCCAGAATTTTCCTGTGGAAAATTTCCTCCAGAATAATTTCTGTCTCTTTATTGATATTATTTGGTGCATCACTGTCATTATCTCTTCCTCTGCATCTTTAATCATGATTTCCTTTAGTTCTTTGAACACATTTGTAAGTCCCTTTGACGCCTTCTTCTGTTAAATCCAATATCTGTTTGCTCCCAGTTTCGGTTGCCTGCTTATTTGTCTGCTATAAGGGTCACAATGTCCTTTTTTTTGCATGCCTTGTAATTTTTTGTTGGAAACTGGACACTACAGGTAATACATTATAGCAATTTTGGGTACTAGCCTCTGTCCTCTGGGGCCATGACTGTGCCTGCTTGGTGACCGGCTGGATTATTTTAGTCAAATCTATTTCACTCCCATCCCAACCCCTTCAGTGTTAAGCCTCTGGTATTCCTCCTCAGTCACCCTGGGATGGCAGTAGTCTGGACGGGGTTTCTTCTTTTCTTTTCTTTCCTTGACTATTAAGCTATTAAGCTCCACTGATTGTTGGCTGACGGCTTGACTGTTTTGAAACTGCCATGGTGCATACTTTCCTCTATGCGCTAATCAGTCGAATTTGGACTCCTGTGAAGGAATAGTTCACAGATCAATGTTTGTTGGTTGTTCAGATCCTTGGAAGGGTCCCCCAGCTTCCTCTTTCCTTGTTTCTTCCCTGCAAACAAGGTGGAGGACGATTTTGCCTGTATCTTGAATCTCTTCCCTGTTGCCTTTCACTGCAACTCGCATTGTTTCTGAGAGCGCCCTTAGGCTTAAGATGCTCCATCTCCTGTTGTAAATGAAGTCCGTTCTTCGGGAAGAGGCTGGGGCGATCTGTTTTAGAGCCTGCTTTTCCCCCTTGTCAGTATCTCAGAGCCAGGGAACTGCGGTGAGATGGGGATGGAGGCACCCTTCTTCCTGAGCGACGCCCCACTTAGAGCTGAAGGGCAGTTGCCTGATGCCTTCTCAGCTTGCCTCTCTCGGATGTGGAACCTCTGCCTTATGAGGCAGAACAAGAGCAGTTAGGTGTCCAGTATTCTCATCAGCCCTGTGCCCACTGTAGAGCCCACACGTGGGGGCTGGTGGAAGTGGAGAGCCCCCACCTGTCAATTGCCCTTGCTTGGAGCTTGAACTCAGTCACAGCTAACGGGGGCAGGATGAGAAATGCTGACATCCTTCTTCTCCAGTTAGGAGCCCGTGTTTTTGGCTGCAGTCTGAAAAAGAAGTCTAGGGAAAGGGAGAGTGGTCTTGGTTCAAATACCAGACTGTTAACTTTTCTTACTGAATTCGTATCGAGTTTCATGAATACCTGTTTCCTCAGCTCCCTGCCTTCAGGACTATGCCCAGAGGCTTGAAATGATGGTTTTAAAAGTGATTTCACAGTTTCGCTGGGGAGCAGTTCCACAGGGTACCTCATATTGCCACACAGTCATGCTCACTTTTTAACACGAGTTTTCCAACATAGTGTCATTATTGAATGGAAAGGTGATGACTTTTATTTTCATCTTGTGTTTTTGATCTAGAATCATGCTAAAAGTCTTATCCTTTGGTTCTTTGTTCTGTTGGGGTCCTATGCATATGCTTGTTCATGCTAACGGTAACAATGATCTTCTATTCTTTTATAATTCTGCATATTTGTTTATTTCCAGGTGGCACTGGATTGGATCTCTAGTATAGTGTTGACTAGGAGTGAGGCAGTGGAAATCTGTTTTGTACTTTTTTGGATAGAAAATAATGAACTTCACTCCATTTGTATGTTCCTTTTAAAATAACCTTTATTATTTTATTTTTTAAAGATTTATTTATTTATTTAACAGAGATCACAAGTAGGCAGAGAGGCAGGCAGAGAGAGGGGGCGGGAAGCAGGCTCCCCGCTGAGCAGAGCGCCTGATTCGGGGCTCGATCCCAGGACCCTGATATCATGACCTGAGCTGAAGGCCAAGGCTCAACCCACTGAGCCACCCAGGTGTCCTTGGATATCTTATTCTTATCCCCATTAAGGTGAATTGCTCTTCCTCAAGTTCCCCAAGAACTTAATCCACATAAGGTCTCCTACATCTCGATTGATGGAAACTCCACCATTCCAGTTTGTACTGTGAGAATTGACCAGAGTCATTAAATCTCATTCTGTCTTGCCCCGACTTCAGTCCACTGGGAATCAGTAGCTCTTATCTATGTTTTCCATACACATTCCACTGCGAGTGCCCAGGGTGACCCACCTTCTTCTCACCTGGCTCTGGCTTTATTTTCTCATCAGCTGTTCTGGTCTCTACATCCATCGCCTGCGGTCAAGTCTCAACACAAGTGATGGGTCATTAGAGCTATCGGAGGACGTCACTGCTCTGTGCAAAGTGCTGAATAGTCCACATTTCTCACAGAGTCAGATCTGACTCGTTCCCCACAAGATGATGTGCTCCACCTCCCATCACTGTCCACCATCTTGACCGTTACTCCGCATCTCAATTTGCTCCAGTCTCTGGCAATGTGTCTTAGCCCACTTGGGCTGCTGCAATAAAATACCGAAGAGTGGCCTGTAAACCACAGAGATGTATTTCTCACAGATATGGAGGCTGGGAAGTCCAAGATCAAGGCACCAGCATGCCTTGGATGGAATGAGCTGTTCTGGCATCTTGTAACCTCAGTGTGTATTTGTGTGTCCGCAATATTAATGCACACCAACACCAAGGTTCATGAATGTGGATGTTACGGAAAGGCCTAAGTTCTCATGTCTTCTTCTCTCCTTCTGAATTCTCACGTCTCCCTCTTTCCTCCTCTTTCTCAATACCTCTCCTGTCCCAAATTAAGGGGACATAAGGAAGGAGGAGTAACAATTGATTCTGTGATAAATAATGTATTAAATAATACACATAGAAATTAAAATGAGCACTTCTGCAGAAGTCTTCCTGCACCCAGCTGGACTTGCAAATTTCGAATGGGGAACATCAAGACACAGGGTCAGTTGGACCACATTGTAAGTTTGGTTTCTACCTTAGGCCTCTCACTGCTGTTGAGAGGAAATGAAGGAAAAGTTCCCTCAGTGTGTTTTTATTTATCAGAATCTCATCAAGATTTGAACTGGTGGCTTATGCAGTGCTAGGAGTTGTGGTGGGCAATAAGGAAAGAAAGGAAATCATTTTTTCACAAGGAATTGATAGTCATAAAATAGCAATATTTGTTTCATTTGTATAGCATTTCTCTAATTTCTCCAGTATTTTTTGGACTATTCTAGACTCTGTGAAAAGGCAGAGATCACACAGGAAGGCCACAGTAAAAATGGAGAGAGAGAGAAGTTCAATGTGTTAATGGTGTGTTAAGACGATGATACAGAAGGGGGCGCCTAGGGGACTCAGTCGTTAAGTGTCTGTTTTTGGCTCAGGTCGTGATTCCAGAGTCCTGGGATGGAGCCCCACATCAGGCTCAATCAGCGGGAAGCCTGCTTCTCCCTCTCCCACTCCCCCTGGTTGTGTTCCTTCTCTTGCTGTGTCTTTCTCTGTCAAATAAATAAATAAAATCTTAAAAAAAGAAAAGAAAAGAGTATGATACAGAGGGCACCTGGGTGGCTCAGGCCAGTTAAGTGTCTGCCTTTGGCTCAGGTCATGATCTCGGGGTCCTGGGATTAAGTACTATGTTGGGCTCCCTGCTAGCTGGGAGTCTGCTTCTGTCTTTCCCTCTGCTGCTCCCCCCAATGTGCCGCCCCGCTCATGCTCTCTTGCATGCACACACACTCTCTCTCTCAAATAAGTAAATAAATAAAATCTTTAAAAAGAAAAGATTATGATACTGAAAATGAGTGTGGGCATAGATTAGATGTGGGGAGACCAGTGAATCTTGCTTGAACTTCCGGTGAATTTGAGTCCACTTTCCCTGTGTTGTCCATGTCACCTGCTCTCCTACGATTATGTGGTTTGTTGTAGGACTCAGTGGTTTTCGAGGATGTGGTTGTGGACTTCACCCAAGAGGAGTGGGCTATGCTGAATCCTTCTCAGAGGAAGCTCTACAGAGATGTAATGCTGGAGACCTTCAGGAACCTGGTCTCAGTAGGTAAGGAGGCATTCATCCTTCACTTGGTTATTTAGAGACTAAGTATGTATTCATTAAGCCTATTTCAAGATTTGGACTAAAGAAGGAGTACACATTGATAAACAAAACAGGCATGATCACAGCTATCATGGATCTAGAATCTAACAGTTTCTCTGTGACAGTAAAAATCTACATATAAACCTGTATTTTTCTATCTATCTTCTTTGAAATACTTAGGGTCCTTCAGTGTCATCAGTCTGGGTATATATCCATGAGTCACTCTGTGGGCGTGGGGAAGTTGATTGTTTGAAATCTTGTGGTTTTTCTGTGCATATTAAGTTGTCTCCAGGGGCCCCCCCGGGCGGCTCACTGGGTTATGAGTCTGCCTTCGCCTCAGGTCATGATATGGCCCTGGGATCAAGCCCTGCCTCAGGCTCTCTGATCTGCAGGAGCCCACTTCTCTCTTTTCCTCTACCTGCTGCTCCCCCTGCTTGTGCATGTGCGCTTTCTCTGTCAAATAAATAAAAATCTCTTAAAAAATTAAGATATAAATTGCCTCCATTTTGACCTCTAGTGCCTCATTTTTTTTAAAGACTTTATTTATTTGACAGAGAGAGAGATCGTAAGTAGGCAGAGAGGCAGGCAGAGAGAGAGGGGGAAGCAGGCTCCTTGCTGAGCAGAGAGCCTGATATGGGGCTCGATCCCAGGACCCTGGGATCATGACCTGAGCCGAAGGCAGAGGCTTAACGCACTGAGCCAGCCAGGTGCCCCCCTCTTATGCCTCTTAATAATGAAGTTTTGAAACAGCTAAACTGAATGTATTTCTTTGCTCACAGGTGCCTTCCTGATAAGATTTGTTCACTGTTTTGTTTTAGATGATGAGACTCAATTTAAAACCATTGGGTCCATTTCTCAGCAGGATAGTTTTGGAGAAAAATTATCCAATGAACAGAAAATACCAAGATTCACAAAAAATGATTTCTGGACCTCCCTTTTTGGAGAAAATTGGGAAGACCAGTACATTGAAGATAAACACAACAATGAGGGAAGATATTTGAGGTGAGTTGCACTTTGGAGAAAACACAATAGTCCAGTAGAGAATCTTACTATTTCATGAAATTAAAAAAACAAAAACAAAAAACTGATAAACCTTGATCCAGATTTGTTTATTCACAAATCATTCCTTCCTTTTTTTTCTTCATGTGACTCAGACATTGAGCATTGGAAAGATAATTCAGTGGGAAACAATGATCAGGGAACCGTATGTGAGAAACACTTGTAGTAGTAGGCTGTGCTTAATCCCATTCCCAAAGCAGCTAGTTTTTTCCACTTTGAAATAATTCAAACAGGACAGAGGACCTGTATTTATGGGGCACCTGGGTGGCTCAGTGGGTTAAGCATCTGCCTTCAGCTCAGATCATAATCCCAGGGTCCTGGGATCGAGTCTTGCATCAGGCTCCCTGCTCAGTGGGGAGTCTCCTTCTCCTTTTCTCTCTGCCCCTCCCTACTACGGTACTCTCTTTCTCTCTCTCTCTCTCAAATAAGCCAATAAACTCTTAAAAAAAAGAAAGCCTACATATATATAGAAAATGGGAGAAATATAATCCTAGCACTCATTAACAAATATTAATAAATTATGAATACACAAACCATTAACAATGTGACCCCCCATTTTTTTTTAGCAGAAGTCATATAGTGGAGAGACTCTGTGAAAGTAGCAAAGGTGATACATGTGGAGAAATTGTCAGCCATATTCCAAATATTAAGCTGTACAAGAAAACTTCCAGTGGAGTAAAACTGTATGAATGCAGTCAGTGTGGAAAAGTCTTCAGGCATCGTTCATCCCTTAAGAGGCACAAAAGGAGTCACACTGGACGCAAACTTTATCAATGTGAGGAATGTGGGAAAGCCTTCAGTTGTTCTTCATACCTAAGGAATCATGTGAAAACTCACAGTGGAGAGAAACCCTATGCATGTCCGCTTTGTGGGAAAACATTTATTCGTTCCCATTCCCTCACTGGACATATAAGGAGTCACACTGGAGAGAAACCCTATGAGTGTAAGCAATGTGGAAAAGCCTTCAGTTGCCCTAAATCCTTTTGAGTACATGTGATGATGCATAATGGTGGGAAACCCTATGAATGTAAGCAGTGTGGGAAAGGCTTTAGCTGTCCCAAATCCTTTCGAGTACATATGATAATGCACACTGGAGAGAAACCCTATGAATGTAAGCAGTGTGGGAAAGGCTACTGTTGGCTCACATCCTTTCAGAGACATGTGAGAATTCACAATGGAGAGAAACCCTATAAATGTGAAAAATGTGGGAAAGCATTTGGTTGGCCCTCATCCTTACACAAACATGTCAGAGTGCACACTGAAGACAAACCTGTAAATGCAAACAACGTGGGCAGGCCTTCAGTTGGCCCCCATCCTCCCAAAAATGTAAGAATGCAGACTGGAGAGAAACCCTATAGGTGTGAAGAGTGTGGGAAAGCATTTGGTTGGTCCTCATCTTTACACAAACATGTCAAAAAACACAGTGGAGAGAAGCCTGTAATCGTAAGCAATGCGGAAAAGCCTGCAAATGGCCCTCATCCTTCTAAAACAGTAAGGATGCAGACTAGAGAGAGACCTCATACCTGTGAAAAATGTGGGAAAACTTTCAGTTGCCCCAAATCCTTTCATAGTCATGTGAGAACTCACAGTCAACAAAAGAAAACTTGTAAGTAATGTGAGAAAACCTGATGCAAATTAACTCATCTAAAACAGTTTGGAAAATCCACACCAGAAGAAAAATCGTGCAAAAGTTACAAAGATGGTATTCCTCAGTATCTCATCCTTAATGGGACCTCTAATTTTATATTATTTTTTTAAATTGTTCTGTAAGTGTGGGGCCGTTAGACTAATGTAACATTGATATTTGTTTAGCTTTTCTTACTGGCTCAGTGTGTTCCAAATTGGGTATCACTTTCCCATTACATATATTCCATCATGTTCTCTTCCTGAGAGAAACTATGACTTTGAAAGTTGGCACTCCTTTGCTTACATAAGGTATGTATTCTCAACACCTTTTTTTTTTTTTGCCAGAGTTTCATTATTCCATTTTGCTTGGTTCCAATTTTGTAATTATGTAAATTGGCAGAAATTTGTAGGTACACAGTGGTCTTGAAAGAATATAGTTTCATATGAACTATTATTTCCATCTGTTGCTATATGCTCTTTGTCCCGGCTTCTGGTTAGGAAGTGGACAATATGTTTCAGTTAAGAGGAGAATGAAATCTAGAGGTGTAGATGGTTCTGCTGGATTGTGTTCTATCAACATAGGTAAGGCTGGGAACTACATTTCCCAAGAGGCCTTCTCTATATGGTTCCATGATAGAATTCTGGAAGAGCCCAGCTTGCGTGAGATTTGGAAGAAGCAATTTTCAGTTTATTGAGCCACCACCACATAAGAAGATAGAGAGATGCATGGAGACATGGTGGGCACCATGAATTCATGGTGGGCATGCATGAATTCCATTTTGTCAGAGGGGTGGCCTTTCAAAGACACCCTACCAGCTTTCCCATCACAGAGGTACCTCTGTGGTTCGATGTCCACAGCTTATATTTTCCCAAAAGCCCTATCCTGTCCACCAGGCCACTGATTAGGACATCATGGCTGTTGATACTGTCTAATGTTCTGACCTCTTTTCTCTAGATCTTAACATATTCGAATAACACCTGATTTATATGGTGAACACCTCATTCTCTTATTATTTCTTATGCTTCTGTGTTCCTGATTCCATCTAGATCAGATGCAGTGGAGCACCCATAACAACATACGGGAGGTGTTTCCCTGCAGCGTCCTCGAGCAGCTACACTTACCCAGTGTTTCTGTGAAATAAATAAGCACTACTGACATACGGGGCAGACTGTGTGGGTTTTCTGTTACTCAGCACTGGATGCAACCCCTCAGGATGTGTTGTTATTAAGATTGAGTATGTGTGGTTGGACATGATGTATACTTTTTTGGTTGAACAAATGCTGTGTTTCTGAGAAATTGTCTATTAAGTGTTTTCATATGAGTTATGTACTTTATAAAATGTATAAAATGTTTCTGAAAAATATCCTATTAACTGTGTTTTCAAATGTATACTAATTTACTTTACTCTTTACAGAAAGTTGGGGTGCCTGGGTGGCTCAGTAGGTTAAGCCACTGCCTTTGGCTCAGGTCATGATCTCAGCGTCCTGGGATTGAGCCCTGCATCTGGCTCTCTGCTCAGCGGGGAGCCCACTTCCCCTCTCTCTCTGCCTGCCTCTCTCCCTACTTGTGATCTCTGTTTGTCAAATAAATAAATAAAATCTTTTAAAAAGTTATGGAAAATTATTAAAACATTACAACTATCACCTGTCAAATCAACTTTGTAGCTGTGAATTTAGGAATTATACATTCTGAGTCAATATTACCAGGTGCATTGAAATCTAGACATTTTTCATGCTAGAAAATTTTATTTTGTATACTGCTGCAGTTTTGTCAATATAATTTCTTATTCATAATAGTAAAAACTCAATAGTTTAAGCAATTAAGTAGTAAATAAGTCTAGCAAATGATATAAAAATATTCTGATGAGACAGTATTTTAAAAAGTCCATTAGATAATATAAAAGTGGAGTGAAGTAAAATATAAACCATGACAAGGTAGATAAAAGGGATAAGAATGAAGGATAGAGGCCTCAGTGAATGGGAATATCATCAATTCATGTATACTTACCCCACCTAATATGCCTTCGATCCTTTCTGGAACTGTTCAAAAGTGTTCATAAATAGTGGGTGGCAATATAGAAATAATTCCCCACTTGTGGAATTAATAGTAATTATTTCCCATAAAAGTGAAGATACAGTTTAGCCACAAACTTTGCAATGGTTAAAGATTTTAGGCATGTCATATATGTTTACGAGACTGGACATGGGTATTTGGGATCAGACAGTTCCTATGAATTGGAAGCACAGTGTATAGATGTTTGTATTTAACATCCTTGTGAAATATTTTGAAATGGCCTCATATATTTGGTACTATCATTTTGGGGCTGCTACACATTGACTGACATTTGTTCTGCAGAAAATCAGAGTTCCTCATAGTTTAAGGAAACTTATGGTTGTCCACACAGTTCTAAACCCTCAATGAGCAGAGCGATCTCTATGCAGGTCCACTGTGATTTCCTAACAGAAGCAAGGAGAAGACGTATGGGTGGTAAAAGGGAAAACTACCCAAAGAATAAGAGAAGTAAGCTGCAGACTAGGGGTATCCTTTTGAGTGACATCCCAAGTTATTAGACAACCTCACATAGGGAAATTTTTAAAGGATTTTATTTATTTGAGAAAGAGAGCAAAAGCACTAGCGTGCATGCAAAAGCAGGGAGAGGAGGAAGCAGACGCCCTGCTGAGCAGGGAGCCCAACTCAGAGCTCGATTCTAGGATGCTGGGATCAAGATCTGAGCCGAAGGCAGACACTTAACCAACTGATCCACCCAGGCGCCCCTAGGGAAGTTTTAATAACCATCTATAGCAGGAGAACTTGTAAGCTTTTGTTTTAATAATCCACAAAGCCGGGGCGCCTGGGTGGCTCAGTGGGTTAAAGCCTCTGCCTTCAGCTCAGGTCATGATCCCAGGGTCCTGGGATCGAGCCCCGCATCGGGTTCTCTGCTCAGCAGGGAGCCTGCTTCCTCCTCTCTCTCTACCTGCCTCTCTGCCTGCTTGTGATCTCTGTCTGTCAAATAAATAAATAAAATCTTAAAAAAAAATAATCCACAAAGCCCAAAATGTCCATTTTGCTTGTTACCGGTATTCTTTCCACATGCTTATACTTCCAATACGTATTAGGAAAGAAAAATGTAACAGCACTGCATTTAATTAAAAGGCAAATGAAGTCCAGTCTTCATCCGTTTCTCATGTTAACTCTTGTTTTCACAGCACAGCAGAGATTAGTGTTATTGCATGATCCTTATTACCTCATTTGGTCACTTCTCCCAACGTCCTTCCAGTAGTACAAGTGACAGAAGTCAGGCATGTAAGCAGGGTCCTGTGTAAGCTTATGCACCCAATAATGGTGCACAATGATAATGGAGCCTCTCTATTCTTTAGGCCTAATGTGTGCTATCACCTGTACTGGGCACTGTTGGAAATTTGAAATCTCCCAATTCTGGAGGACAAGTACACAATTTTCAAAATGTAACATTAAATTTTAAACACAGGATTGAAGGGGCACCCGGATGGCTCAGTTGGTTAAGTATCTGCCTTCAGCTCAGGTCATAATTCCAGGGTCCTGGATAGATCCCCACCTTGGACTCCCTACTCAGTGAGGAGTCTTTTCTGCCCTCCTTCTGCCCCTCCCACTGCTCCTTCTCTCTCTCTCTCAAAATAAATACATAAAATCTTTTCTAAATGAATACAGTATTCAAAAGACTACATTTTTATGACATTCTGGAAAAAGTAAAGGTATAAGGAACTAGCATAGATCAGAGGATTAAGAGTGGGGGAAAGTTTGTCTACAAATGGGCACTAAAGTTCTTTTTGTGGGAGAATGGAGTGTTCTGTATTTTGACTATGGTAGTAGAAGTATGAATTTATGAAAACCCACAGAACTATACTTAAAATGGCCAGTTTTATTTTTTTAAATAAATTATTAGAAAACAAAGAAGCAAAAATATCTTATTAACTAAAGGAAAATTTAAACCCACCCACATCTTTATTTTCCGGTGAGTAATAACAGTGCTTTCCACCTCCTAGAGACTTGTGACCCATCAGGCCTTTCTTGGGAGTCGCCTGAAGTTAGAACACACTGCAGGGTCACACTGTCCGCACCTGAGTCACATTACCTGAGGGAAGTGAGAGGGAACCAGCAATGTCTCTCTGGGTTCACACCATGCTCCGGGGGCCAAAACTCAGGGAATGCTGTGGTTTAAGATTAAAAAGTAATTCCAGGGCATTCTCACGGATCCTCAGGGGGTGCAGGGGCGGAGGCAGTCGGCCTGGTAGTGGGCATACACATTCAGTCCTGTCCTGAAGCCATCTGCAACTCAGTTCAGAGCACCTGACATCTAAGGGTCAAACCCGACCCTGATCCGCTCTGCTGCAAATTTTCGCTCCTGATGTACACTGGAGGTGCTCCCCTGTTCATCCCCGCAGAAACTCCACATGGCTGCAACGAGAGTCCAAGGAAAGCGCGTGACGCGGTGACTCATCTTCTTTCTCCGGAGCAACGGCTGCCCAATGAACTCAGCACCCTACCGCCAGCCTGGCATCCTCGCCTTCGAACTGGTCAGAGCCTCAACGCCTAGCACGTGCGCACCATACCCAGGAGGACGCCACGCCCACAGCCATGAGCATGCGCACGCCC